AAATGGTCCAAGAATGGTTTGAGGAACACAACAACAAGTTGTCTCCAGATCTCAAACCAACCGGGCATCTGTGGGATGTGCCAGAAAAACAAGTCCGATCCATGGAGGCTCCACCTTGCAACTTACAGGAATTAAAGCATCTGCTACTGACTGCTTGGTGCCAGATACCACAGCATACCTTCAGAGGTCAAGTGGTGTCAATGTTAGATGGGTGGTGATAATGTTATGGCTGATGGGTGTAATCCAATCTCCACTATGGCATTTAGTTCCACTTCATTTGCTAAATACTAATGTTTGTAGCATATTTCCCATACAATATAGGTAGCAGTGTGCAGATTTTATACAACAGGATTATAAATGAACAGAAAATAAATGGACAACACAGACATTCAGATTTTGTCTTTTAATAGTGACTTTACTGCAAAAATCATTACAAATTTCCTGAACAAATGTTATCTTTGTACCAGCGGCAAAATTTATCTCCCCTTATTCCTAAAACAGTCTTTTACCACCCTCCCTTTCGTTTACCCGCCCAGTGCATGCCTGGAATTCAGACTTTACTTCTAAGGCTGAAAATAGTGATTAAACACATACCCCCCTTATCCCCGAGGTTCTTTGGTTCAACAATAAAAAATACACACAGAAAAAAAAAATACACAAGACCACACAAATATTACAAAAAAAATATATAATAATCCTATTTGAAAACCAGAGTGATGTCTCACTTCTCAACCTCTGGCACTTAAAAGATTGAAATATTTAAAACATTTAAAAAATAGAATATTTTTTTTATTGAGGTAAAGATCTAAGGATTTGCAAATCAAGCCTACCAGATGATGTTAAAAAAATATTGGTCCAGGACTTGACTTGCTCTGCTCCGGACAATTTAAAATCAATATGTTTTTCTATTGTCTCTTGGTAGACATCACTGCATCAGTTCTCTTGTATAAATTCAGTGTTATCTCTGTGACTGAGAGCGAAGATGGTTCATGAGGTATGTAAAAAAAAAGCACCAGTTACTTGTTCACCCATTTCACACCAACAGCAAATACAGACCTTCAAGTCTCTTTTCCTTTTTGAAAAACATGCTAATCACGCTTTCATGGACCCTATTAATGATAATGACCTAGGTCAGTGTTCCCCAGACTTGCCATCAAGTGCCAGATTTGACATCTTTACCTATTGTTACAATTTTCTGTTTAACAAGCAAAAGTAGTTCCGCAATCTTAAGAAAAAACAGGTTTCCAACAGGATGTCATCGCTTTTAAATATCCACGTATGGTATTTGATTATGGTGTCAATAGACAGCACTTGGATAAAAGGAAAATCTAGCGACTAAAGCTTAAAGAACAAAGTCAATCGGTCAGATATCCAAAATCTAAAAGCTGCCCGGTTGATGAAAGCAGGAAACTAGCTGGGTATAAAGATTATTGTAATCCACATTTCAAGTTGTAAATAGGCTATACTAAAATCTTTTTAAATGCATGTTTTCCCGATCACTTCACAGAATGCAGGTTAATTAATGTGTCTTTAGTTGAACTAAAGCACCCGTTTAACCCCTTCGTGACTTTTTTGGGGTACTGCAGTTTTTCGCCGTTTCACGGTCGCACGCAATCTGTAAACTGGGCATGTTGGGTATCGTTTTACTCGTTGTAACCTCATCTTTTATATTTCATTAAAAAAATGGGTAATTTGTTGTGTTTTGGGGCATTTAATTAAATTTGTCACTAAATTTTGGGGTTTAATAAGGAGTTGCGCTAATATTGCGCAACATAAAAATTTTCAACTACCACCATTTTATTCTATAGGGTCTTGGCATTCAGAAAATATATAATGTTGGGGGGTTTTACGGCATTTTCAGGCCTAAAATGTGGAATATAACATGGGTGCAAAAATGGAAAAAAGGGGTTAAAGAGAATATACTGTATAGTGGTTGTCAGTCATTTCTTTCTTTTTTTTAAAATGGCATTGAACTATTATAGGAGTCTTCTATCTGACCAGTAGACGCAGCTCTAATTTCTCTTTCACACAGTTAGCCGTTTCAGCAATGCTGAAAGAAAGCTCTTGTTTACTAAACTCCTGCTCAAAATATAGGAGTCAGAGGGATGGCTCATCCCTTATTTGAGGGCTCAGTCTGATGTTTCAATCAGACAAAGCCAGCCTTCAAAAGGCAGTCTGAAACTGTGCTGTCTCTTTAGCTAGCCAATAGTACCACTGGCATCCTTTGTAAGAAATTATACATTTGTAAATCAGTGTAAAAACAGATCTAAAAAAAAAAATGTAAAAAGATAATACAATGAAAAAGCTACTTCAATAAAATGACCCTAAATCATTTGTGCTTCCTTTGACATGTATGTACAGCCTTTTACTTTTAAATTAGTTTTGGACTGAGCAGGGAAGGAAATCTCCCAAAGTGAGGAACATGTCTTTTACAGTTGTTTCTAGACCATGTGTCCTCATTGGAAGGTTTCCCCTTATGCCTTGTCCTGGGGGAAACTCAAATTTTGGAATTCCGCTCACTTTTTTGTCTTGGAGACATTAGTCTCCAAGACAAATAGAGGGGCGAATCTCGCTAATGAAGAAACTGACTTCCCCATTTCATTCAAAACTTGCCTGGAAATCTACTTTAAGCAAGTATCAATTTGGAAAACCTGACCACTTTGTGGTACTTGAAGAAAAGTTTGGGAAATACCGCTCTAGGTTGTTTCCAATCCAAGTATTTGGATGAACAATGATGAACAATCTCTGTTACTAGACTTTGTATTAGGTATTGGGCAACTGGTGCTTCAAGTATTTTCAAGCAGAAAAAAAAAAATAACAAAATAAAAAATGTACATTTCTGAGGTAAATAAAACATGTAATAAATGTAAGAGTCCTGGAAACATAAGATTTTTTTTTAAACAACTAAATATAAACTGCTGGTGTTTGTCACTATTTTATATTCCTATAATTAGCAGCAGAAAACTGACATTTTTGTACCTGTCATGGATTATTACCAATGTCCGGAATTGACTAGACAGGAAAAATATTCCTCTGTCAAGCTTAAAAGGCAGATACCATGCCTACAATGGACACGTTACTCATAGATTCCCATCTCTGGAACATGGAATCAAACAGTGACAATATTATGTGAATAGTAGACCCATTGACTGGGTGGCCTTCATGTAAAATCTTTGGGATAAATCCACCACCAATAATTCTGCAATTAAACATATATATTTTCAAGTTACGTCAGAAGGGAGCAGTGAGGAATTCAAATGAAGAGGAGAGTCAAGTTTCTTGAAAAACGCAATATACAATCTAGGAGGCATTGCTGTCTTTTCTAAAAACCCTTCTTACGTCACCATTCTATAGCCTATAGGTGGGGGGGTGCCGTTTGTTCTGGGAAGTCTACCCGTCATTTTAATTTGGTTTGAGAAGTGATTCTTGGCACTGGGGGTCAAAGTCCACCCATTGGCTCCTGCAGAATGTCAGGTATTACTATGGATAGCTCAAACACCCAGGTTTTGGAATTGTGGAATACACATTGGTGAATTGTTGGCTGTCAAACTAGCCAATGCCTTAATATACTGTAATCATTTCCTTTGAAAGCCCAAAAAGGACTGTGATGTCGTTTGCTTCATACAGACTTCCCAAAATAAAAGCAGCAATGAGGAGAACAAAATATGAGGAATATCTTACCTTGACTGACCTGGAAAAGTTTATATCATGTGCGTCTTTGACAAGCGTTTCCAAATCATCTCCTACACCCCAGCCGTTTTCTTTTTTTTTGCAATGTCCATTAGTAGGTTAACAAAACACACAACAACAAATCAAGTAAAACGATCACAAACATGATTGAGTAATGCAATGTGCCTAATCCAGGCACCAGGATTGTCAATAGGATGGCGTCTGTGAGAATGTGCTATCTAAAACCCCCCACAGTGCATTATGGGACCATGCTGTGTTCTTACAAATGCTATGTATAGATGCGGTTTACCAACATCAACCTAAACCGCCTGTAGACTATATACACATTCAGGGCCCATGTTTTGGAAATCTAGCAAATAAATCTTTTACACAAAGAAAATTTCTTTTTTTTTTTTTACATTTTCAGTTTTGCTTCTTTTTTTATTTATTTTACCAAGCAAGTTAGTCAAGTTTGTGTAAATGATTGAATTTTATATTTTGAGAGCAGATAAACCAGCATATATTTGCGTGGTATTCATCTAAATATGTTAAATAAACCTATAAATAAAACTTGCATACTGGATTCCTGAGTTTGGGGACATTAATCTAACAAACAGGAGAGTAAAATGAAATGTAATCTCATTATGGGAATTAATATTGTTAGCATCTATTTATAGATGTCACAGGACTTTGATATTACATTTCTATATGTCAATAATGCCTGTGCACAGAAAAGCAAAAAAACTCAAAAGAAAACTATTTTTAATCTGCAACCGGAGTCTAGAATTCCCAGTAGCCTGCCAGTCGTTGAAACCAGCCTTACTGCCAGTTTACAGGATGTTTATAATCTGACTCTGGACAGATATCAGAACAGAGAGGTAGAGAGATCAATGGACAGGGACAATCGGCTAAATGGTGGCAGCAGAGAAAAGAAAATGTCTCAAACATTTGCCTTGCACTGCTTATAATGTACTCAAGCACAGATAGTCCTGTGCCTGCACACGAGCCTTAGGTGCCAAATTAAAGGAAATTGAAATTAATCAAATAGAAACCAATTATCTGATTTCCTATCACATTTGATTGTAGTGAGCACCGACTATTTCTCTTTATTTCAAAGATTACCACCTATCAAATAACGTTGATATCCTTTGTTTAACAATTTTCATTTTGTAAAGTATGTAATGTTGAGTCATTATATTGTCTTTATAAACGTTGCCCATATATGCAGACAGGAGTATTTCAGCCCAATCTGATACTGAACAGGTGTTACTGAATGAAACGTGTGATGACTGCATCTGGGTTAAATGGCCGAGTCTTCTAGTGTGCAGACACCTTCAGTTTGGTGTTTAGGCTTATTGAATTTACAAGGCACAGCCTCTTCAAGGTAACTGCTACCTTAGCTGAATTAAAAAGCTTTCTGAATGTAGAGCAAATCTCAATCTATATTACACACAAGCAGGAGGCATAATATATTATGTGTATATAGAAGGGCAGTACCATTCAATGATTAGGATGGCCAACCACAAATGTATCCATGTTCCTCTGTGGATAAAAAGATTCCTCAAAAATATAAAAACATATTGAACTTGAGGTATTTGCAACTCTAGTGTCAAACCAATACCACATCACATCAGAAGATACCAGGTATTAAAACATATTCAGGAGGATTCTTTAAAACATACTTCTGATTACAAGATAGAACTATGTGAAAAACCCAAGTCATCTTGGCTAAATGTCCTACAAAACATCGACTGTCATAAGCACATCTTGAGATTGTGTGACAGCCAGTGAGGGAGGAAACAGATCCTCAAAAAGGGATGAGGTGGCCTTGGCAGAAATGTCTCCATGTGCCGCTTGCACATTTTATGTCTGCAATTAGATTGTCTCTAGCCTCCTTCCTGCTGCCCACCATTAAAGATCCAGAGGAGGAAGCAGGTGTGATATTTAGCACCTCACAGAACTACAAGGAGAATGGGACAGCAAGTAGGTGCAGGTCTGCTCACAAAACGCCATACAGTAGGTCAGAGCTGAAGCTCAAAGACAGGTTTAAAGGCTGAGTCTTTCCCAGGTCTTCTTCCTGCCCACGAGTGATATTGTGTAATGCAATGAGGTAAATCGGTTGTGTAACCTTTTCTTAAGGTGAGGTACGTGGAGCTGAAGTCTTCCTGAAGCTGAGGTAGGTAAGGTTGTGTAACGCTTTCTCGCGGAGGAGGTAAGTAGTATCATGCCTATTCCCTCCTTTTCTCAATCTTTCCCATGGCAGAGAACAAGGCTTCAGAGGGACCAGCTGGTGGAGGGTTCTGCTCCTGGGGTACCCCGGGAGGACGTGGGACTGTGGGATGCCTGCGAAGTATTGCTGCTACTCCCACTCCCTCCGCTTTGCCCAGTATACCCCGCAATTAAAGGAACAGGCTTCTGAGCATATAAAATGCCTACAAAAAAGAAAAAACAGATACAAATAAGACTCTTCATACAGCGTACAGGCTAGTCAAATGTAAAAAAACAACAAATGAACAACATTAATTTACAACACATGACATAAACCATGAAATAAACAACTGATACTGACATAGCTAGGGTGTTTAGGTGTGTATGGTGTACACAGAAAGCACATGAGCACTACAAATGCACCTGAATAGACAATGCAACCCAACAGTGTATTTCTATTCTAATGGAAGGCTTTAATGTACATACAGTGCAGGCAGGCGCAGAGTGGTACATTTTTCTCTTGTGATAGGTTTACTTTAAGACATAATGATCTTGCGCACCACTAGGATAAAGTAAGACTAGTTAGGACTCATTTTATATTTTACTCTTTGCTTCCTCCACGTTTTAGGCCTACGAGTAAAAAAATATAAACTATAAAATGACCCCATTTTAGTAACCACTCCACCCAACAAAATGCCGCATCTTACCTGTGTACATAGTGCCATTAATTTCAATGGACATGTTGATACTGCCAGAGCCCAGACTGAGTGGTGTGTCCTGCCGATCCTGAGTTGCTGAAAAAGACAGACATCAGTACATTACTCAGAGTATGTGAAAAGCCGACGTGTTCAGTGTGTGTTTGTATACTTTTGATAATTTCACAAACACGCTGGGCTTTGAAAGAACTACTCCATAGTTCTTTCAAGAGCCAAGGATACGTTTAGAGCAGAGGCAGTGCTCTTCTGTCTCCATCCTATACACATTGCTCTTCTAAAAGGCTATTGTTAGGTGGAATGATGCATCCTGCTCAAAAAAAATCTTTCAATACTAAAGGCTCAAATCGCAACACCTTACACAAGGATAAGAATCTTTGTTTTCACCCATGTGACTAATTTTCAAATCTCATCTGACTCAGCGAGAATTAAACTCACTTTCTTGAAAATAAAGATCATTAGACCACAGTATTAGCTGTGGGACAGAGCAAATTTTGATCCACTAGTGGCCCTATCCCCTTGACAGAAGTTTGTCATTAGATCGACTTTTGCTGAAGGGACATGCCTGAAATCATCAGCCAATCAGAAGATTGGGTGGAAGCACTATATGATCAACAGAAGTTGACCACAAACTAATCCCATGCCAGTTGGTATCAAACATCACCAGCTCATTTATTAAGATCAGCCATAAACTCACATTTTACTTCAAGGTCACATATAGAATATAATAAATAAAAATGGCAATATACAACAGGAGTTCCTAGTACATCACAATGCATGAGATCAAATAGCCAATCACTTACCCTTCCCATTAATCTTTAGTTTCATAGGTATCTGTCGTGCCATGCTTAAAAGATTGTGCTGGAGGGCTTGCTGCATGAACCTTTGTTGCTCTTCCATGGGTGTACGTGCTATTCGCTTCTCTGGGGGCTCACCCATTTCTAGCCTTTCCTTCAGTTGCTCTACTGAAGCGGTTCGCAGTCCTGTAGGGGCCTGCTGTGCACTCATATGTCCAACAGCCATTGCCATCCGACTAGTTAACATGAGTGCAGAACTGTCACCTGCAACAGATGATCATCAAAAGGTTTGCCCAATTGGTAGTATAAAACCCGAAAATCCCACAACCGGATACATTTCTCTCATAGTTCAAGATGGGAAAACAAATATGATTTGCGCTGTGCGTTCAAACTAGGTATGCACCGATACAGGTTTTTCAGTTTTGAGCATCAAGATTTATCTTTTGGTACTCGCCGATACCGGTACTTCCAGTAGCATGGAGCCGGCTTCCCGGGCAAGCAGGAAGATGGGCAGTGTGTCATTACCCTCCACCCAGCTTCTTGATTGCCTGGTAAGTCGGCTCCATGCTGATTGGGTGGAATGTTGGGAGGCGGGTCACTATGCTGTTTGGCTGAGAAGTCAGCTTCCCAGCCAATCAGCATGGAGCCGGCCAAACAGCACAGAAGCAGTTTGCCGCTCACAATACGGAAACCGTGCCCTAAGTCAATATCCGCGGCCCGGCTTCCTGATTGGCCGGGAAGCCGGCTCCATGTTCCTTTGCGGCACTGCCAGTCAGAGGAAATCTCCCTCTGACCAGAAGGTCTGTTATCGGGATAAGTATCGGAGCATTTGGGCGAGTATAAGTGCTCTTAAAGAGGAGCCAATTTAATGTCTCTCAAAATAGTTACTTTTAAGTCATGCCAACTGTCAAGGTTGCCCCCGTGCTTATTTTAGCTCTCAACCAAACTTTCAAGCCATCAGATGGCTGGTGTCCTAGCTGATCACATGTGCAGCACCATGGCAACTACAATCCAAATGTTTTATTTTTCAAGAACCCATAAAAATGTCTCTCCGCTGCGAAGATTTCACTCTCATCTTGTCCTAGTGACAGTGGTCACCACGACAACCGAACTGTATAATGCAAATATATACTGCAATACACAACTATTTGATATAGAAGGGTTAACCCTTTTGCTGCCAGAGCTGTTTTTGCAAAAATGTTTTGCACACGTTAAAAACGCACATTTTGGGCCTGAAGATTCTTCAAACCAACCAGAATTATATATTTTCAGAGGCCCCATGGAATAAAATGATGGCAGCTGTAATTTTTTGATATACGATGTTAGAACAACTGTTTGATTCATTTTAGTACTCATAAATACAATTCAAACGTAAAACATGCTTTAATAGCTTTTAAAGGTCAACAGTTCAGAGCGGGGTAGGCAAACTCCGTCCCTCCCGCTGTGGTAAAGCTACAAATCTCATTATGCTTCTGGGAGTCATGTCTGTGGCGGTTAGAGTCTTGCTATGACTAATGAGATTTGTAGTTACACCACAGCTGGAGGGCCATAGTTTGTGGCCCCCCAGCTGTGGCACAATCGTAATTTTCAAAAGGTAGGCACACCTGTATGTGCGTGTACGTATGTACCTTCGGAGGCCCATGGAAGCGATCTGTAAAGTCGACGGAATCAACTGAAGCGTAAACCAGACAGTCTGCTTTACACATGCAAGCAGCCTCCTGGCTTACAGGGCTTTGCTGCCAAAGGCATATGGTGGTGCCAGCAAAATCCCCTCAGGTTTTTATTGCAGTCTATGCTCCTGTTGTCTCCTCCTCTAAGTCTCCAGTGACAATAGTCACCAGGACAGGAAGGGAGGGGAAATCTTCCCAAAGATGACACAGGCAGCAATTAGAACATCAGAAACCTGAAAGTCTTACCCTGCCCTTCTCCATCATAAAAGAAAAAAAAATGGCTGGCATTACACATTGGGCGACCCTGGTTTAAAACAAATCTTATTGACAGTTCCCTGCAAGACAGGAGTTGTTATACTCCCCTCTCCAGAAATGTAGGTTTCCTACCCTCCCTCCAATAAAATTTGTAAGTCTCCATAAGGTCTTGTTCACACCAAATGCAGAGCAGATCCGCTCAGGTTTCTGCACACGCAGTGCAGTGGGTTGTGCCGCTTTTTTGATGCGTTCCGGCCCTTTTTGGTAAAAAAGAAAAAAATTTTTTTTTTTTAGTTTAACGTGGGCTTTCAGTGCGTTCCAGGCATTTGCATGCATTTTGTATGCGTTTGCATGCGTCCCGGAGCAGATCCAGAGCAGGTTAAATAGGGCCTGCTGCAGTTTTTTTACCTGCTCTGGATCGGCTCTGGAACTGGAGCAAAAAATACCATTGGAATACATTGGACGCAGTTTTGATCTGGTCTGCAAGCTCTGCGCTTGGTGTGAACAAGGCCTTAGCCTCTCTGGCATTCAACACTTTCAGGAATGCTGTAGCCGTGTCCCCCATTGCATGCGGTGGTTTGATTCTCAGACTTTTCCCATCACAATAGGAAACAGCAGTGATGTAGGGGGCCAGAAAATGGAACCACAACAAATGGCAGGGGACACAGTCATCCAACAGTCCTACAAGTGTTGAATGCTGAAGAGGCTTACAGGGGCTGCAGCTCTGTAAAGGAAAGAAGGAAGGAAGGTAGGAGACACAGGCCTCTGGAAAGGCACGTATAAGAGCTCCTTGCTTGCAGGGAACCTTTAGCAGGACTTATTTTAAACCTATTCAGCTCTCTTTAAAATGTAGAAGACTAAGTGAATCGCTAAAATAGTGGAGACCTTCCTGGGACTGAGCAATAGCAGCAAATTGTAATTTTAGATGTATCTAAACCAAGAACAAAAGCGTAATATTTAACACCTTACCAGTCCTTAGACATAGTGGCTGCATTAGTTTTTTTAAGTCTTCATTTTCACCTGGTGATCCTGCATAAAATGTCTTATCCTAGGATGACAATGCTCACTCGCTGTACTGTATCTGAGGAGCAATGTTGTCACCCTAGGACAAAAAGTGTTTTAGGGCTACTCAACACCCTCTCCTCTCTATAACATGTATAACATGGGGCAGGGCAGCCATCAGAAATTTCGGGGCCTCTTACACGGCTTTAGGCCAGGGCCCCCCTGCCTGGTGTAAAGAGGAGCTTACACTCTAATCCCCCCCCCCAGTTACATTACCTGCTGGACTCAGGGCTTCGTGACCCACTGGACACTAGACATGTGCACTGGCAAAAAAATTGTTTAGTTTCATCTTGTTTTGATTCGGATTTTGTGTTATTTCGTTTTTCGGGATTTGGACGAAATTAGTTAGCGGTAGTCTGTACGAATGTTCATTTCCCTTTCATGTTCGTATCATTGCAGCAAAGTGACATTAACATTTTATTTTTTTAATTGTCACTTTGCTGCAATGACAATTCGTCCACAAACGAAAACGCGTACAGACTACTGCTAACTAATTTTATCCGGAAAACTAAGTTTTCCAAAACTAATCGCACATGTCTACTGGACACAGGGCTTAGGGTTAGTTCACACCATAAGCAGTGTGCTCCGGCCCGATTATGGCCAGAATGCACTGCCCGCATTGCGGCTGGCTCACTTTTTTGTCGGGCTGGAGGGGGAGTGGCGGGCCATTGAAGTGAATGACACTGTAGCCACGCGCTCTGGCTGCAATGCGATCACCCGCACGGGATCACAAGGCACATTATACCTTCAGTGCGTTCGGGTGCGGTGCAATAAAAATGCTGCAAGGGGCTGAGTGACGACGCGCTGGATGCAGGGCTGTGCAATTCAATGGCTTCAACCCCACCCCACCCCCGCCCGCAGTGCAATCGAACGCGTGGCAAAACGTTGCCAGCATTGCGTTCCACTGCAAACGCAAAAAATAGAGCAAGCACTATTTTTTGCATTTGCAGTGGAACGCAACGGTGGCAAAGTCTTGCCACACGTTCGATCGCACTGTGGTTGGGAGTGTGTGGAAGCGGCGCCATTGAATTTAATGCACCGCCACGCCCCCTCCCGCCCCAAAACGCGGGGAGAAGTTTCTTAGCGATCGCGGTGCGTTCCAGCAGCTACCGCTCTGGAACGCATAGGCTTTCGGTGTGAACAAGGCCTAAATAGGGGCCCAATGCCGAGCACCAGCTTCGGGCCCCTCTCAGCCCTGGGCACCAGCTGCTTGCTGCTACTGTACCCTGCAAACACTCCCCCCAGTGGGCCCCCACCAAGCAGCTGGGGCTCGATGCTGTGCCCCAGCGTCGGGCCCCTATCAGCCTTGGACACCAGCTGCTTGCTGCTACTGGCTGCTGTCCTCTCCAAACACTCCCCCCAGTGAACCCCCACCAAGCAGCTGGTGCCCATGGCTGAATAGGGGACCAATGCTGGACCCCAGCATCGGGCACCAGTTGCTTGCTGCTGTCCTCTGCCAATGCCCATCTCCCCAGTGGGCCCGGGCCCCCACCCCAGCATCAGCCACCCACCCCAGAGTCTGACACCACACTGCTGCTGTTTTTTGCACATACGATACAGATAACAAAATGGCATATTTAACAGACCAAAAGAAAGCAAAGAAGAGAAATTCATGGTTAGGGTTTATATACACTTTAAATAATAAATTGTACTTACTGTGCTGGTTTTCTATCCAACTAGCTGATCTACAACTACATTGTATTACCCCAAATACTGTAGCAAAAAAATAAATTAACCTTTTTTATAGCTAGAAATTTCAGAATAAGTTTTCAAAAGACTGAAAAACAAAATAAGTATGCACTAATATTCTATGGACAACAGGGGGCGCTGTAGGCCAAGGCTTCAGGATACTTCATGGCAATCAGGCAATCTGACCTGATTTCATACAAGTGAACATGTTTTAATACAATACAACACTGCTAGATCTTTTTCTGTTTTTCACAGCAGACATCTGACCTTTCTTAAGCGGCGTTGTCGTCGTCAAACGAGAAGATGGGTGCACTCCGAGCAAGGGCACAGGAAGTTTTGGAGCTCCCAGAAGCGTGTTGGGTCCTGCTGGAGTAGGTGAATAGTTAAAGGAAGAAGTGCCATAGCTTGGGCGCCTTCCTTCTCGTCTATTTCCATCTATGGCAGCTTGCAACTCAGCAGGAGAGCTAAGAGACTTCTTCTCACACTCGTAGAGATAAAGGTACTTCATATATCTGTAAGGTGCAAGCAGGATACACCATATGAAAAAAAAGCATGTCCCCTTCACCTGTGAGCACACACATCCCACACATTCAGATCAGAACTAGTTACCCATACAGCAGGCATTGGGGATAGGAAAAGGATTGTGTAAGCAAACGCAATACAAGGAAAAAGGTTAAAATTGAGGAGAAACAGGCTTGGTTTCAACAGGCCAGAGCCATTTTATGCACGGTTAGGAAATAAATGACTAAAATAGCATTAAGCAAATCTAATACTGAATTGAATAAAAATATTACACGTTCATATTCCTGCAAGGAGAATAACACTACTGTGATAAATACTCACTGTGTGCGCAAGGTGAAGGCAGCACTTGTAATGGAGGTTGGTAGGTTCAAGCCCTTTGTGATCTCCCTCCAAATTTTCTTGTTGATCACCTCTACAAGTCCCCCTTTCTCAGTTACAAGCTTGTAGAGCATGTAGAGGTCCAGTAACTGTTTGGCCATGATGGGGATGCGGCTTATTGGGGTGCCTGGGGAAAATCACATGGAAAAAAAATAAATAAGCACTTTTAAATCACAGAGAAATTGTTCAAATGGGGCATGACAAGGAGCACAAAAAGAGGAAGAGTGTAAACATGATGGTTTGCTGCTTTACAAGCAAAATGGTATAGCCAGGATAAGTGTCTGGGTCCCTCCAGAATCATAATCCATTCAAATCAAATACAATCTCTAGGCAGCTGATTCCATAATTGATTTCATGAGTGCAGGTCAGCGACGGTGGTAATTGCACTACATACAAACACTAACGAGAGATTCTACAACTCCATATAATAAAAGGTACCAGATCTTAGGCCTTGTTCACACCAAATGCAGAGCAGATCCGGTCAGGTTTCTGCACACGCAGTGCAGTGGGTCGTGCCGCGTTTTTGACGCGTTTGGGGCCGGTTTTGGTTAAAAAAAAAAAAGTTTTTTTTCAAGTTTAACATGGGCTTTCAGGCACTTGCATGCGTTTTTGATGCGTTCCAGAGCAGATCCAGAGCAGGTAAAATAGGGCTTGCCGCAGTTTTTTCACCTGCTCTGGATCTGGTCTGGATCTGCACGCTGTGATGTGAACTGGAGCTCAAAATACCATAGGAATACATTGGACGCAGTTTTGATCCGGTATGGATCTGCTCCGCGCTTGGTGTGAACAAGGCCTTACCTTTTGCATGACAATTAACCTCATCAGAGACTTGCCAGAGTGTCCACACATTTTTAAATGCCATTTAGAAAGTCAGTATTTTGCAGGCACACTTTGGTAATGCAAAAGAGAAGGTCTTGCACCTTACAGTGCCTGCTATTGGAAAGTTAGCTGTTCCTTTCAATTTCACACAGCTTTACTTTAAAACGTTCATAGATTTCATATTGATCAAATATACTTTGTTTTAGCTCTGGACATGAAAAGAAATTCTAAACAAAGCCTATAAACGGTCATTTTAAAAAGGTTTGTGTTGTCTCTTGAGCAATTCAGTTCCCTCCACCACCGACACCCATTGTTTCCAGACTAAAAAGAAAAGATCCCGCCTGGTTAACATCCAGGGCCAAAAGGCTGCATACAATGGAGTATATCCTGGCAAAATAAAGGAACACTTCATATCTGCTGAACTGAATGGAGACCTAAACTTGGATCCAACATTAAAAAGGAGAACTATGGGGTGAGTGATTTTCACTCATCCTCATAGTTCTAGCCGACCTGTGACAATGGGACTGTCACAGGTCGGCTCAGTAGATCGGGAGGTGAGCGAACACATACCGGCGTTTGCTCACCTCTCCATCCTGTCATGGCTCTCTGCCGTGACAGGGGAGGGGCTGGATTCCCCCCTCCCCGCTCAAATCCGCCAGCGCTGACTGGCAGAACGGACGGGGGAGGGGGTGGGCACAGCTGGGGGGATCCAGACATAATTGTCGGGATCCGTTTCAGCTGGGGCGTCTCAGTATACCGCGAGCTACGGAGCTTTGGGTGACGGGAGGACGCTAGTTTGTGTCCTCCCGTTACCCTTAGGAGAACTATGGGGAAAAGCCCTAACCACATAGTTCTCCTTTAATTACGCTCGACACACTGCTCAAACTTTGGTCGAGTGCTGCTGACTTGGCAGAGATTCAAATAGTGTGTGACCCCTTTGGGACAATTCGGCAAAATCGTTTAAAAAAAAATAAAAAATTCTTGGCTGAACATTGACTGCAGCCAATTAGATAGTCTTTTTTTGGGGTATTCCGACAGTGGTTATGCTAGGATTCAACAGACCCGCGGGGGGAAACCCCCATTTGTGATGTTTAGCATGAAGTTGGAATCGAGCATTTCAGCCCGCGGTCAAAGACGGCTGATCAGCTTTACTATATATCCAGCGACATTCCATACAAGGTTTCAACCTAACCATACAGGATGTCAGCCATGCACAGAATCACACCACAAATTCTTGCCTGCTCCATGTAGATATCTAAATATATATGTCTGCTTATTGCCTAGCCTTAAACACGTACTGACATCTGTCACACTCGCAAATTCCCATTCATTTTATTGGTATCTGCCGCCATCACATTCTATGAACCCCACAAGTCCCTTGTGTAAGGTAGCCATCTGACCCCAACGGCACTAATCATGGGGAGTGTCCTATGACAGTCATCCATCACAGAGGTGACAGCATAGGATGGGAGGGCTAGCAGAGAGTTTCATGGACTGTCCCTCATTATTTTCAGACCTGGGGCTGGTGGGGGAAGGGAGGGTGTGTGACAATCACAGCTGTGGCTTGGCGTCACTAGGTATATTCAGCTTGCTGCTGTCTGTGTACTTTGTACGGCACACTCACACATGACAAGCACGGAGGGTATTAATTAAAGTAGTAAACAAGGTTCTTCTGTTATACTCAATACGTACACATACTCCCCTTTGGACAACATAACTTGTGAATGTGTTTGTGCTGATGGAATGTCAAGGCTTGGCATACGTGAAGCATTGTGTGTTCTCACAATATCGCACAGCAAATAGAAGAGATTTAATACCAGCATACCTGCATAATAACAGCAACATACCACACCACTAAACAGCCAGGGAATTTATTGAGGAGCTCAGACTGTACAACACGGAATTAAAAGGACAGATTGATGTGACCTAAACATGAACATATTGCTCCAGCGATAAGATTTCATCACAGATAAAAGCATCGCAGTCTCCAAAGCAGAAACAAACTTCAAAGAGCTCAGCAAAAGAAGCAAGTCGTTTAATTAGGTAATCTGCTGCCGATGTGCTGAGCTGGACAAATTGCTGCCGTCTCTTTTTGCCAATCTTGCCTAAAGTAATATACTTCATGCTAAAGGGTACAAGAAAAAATGACAAAGACAAGAAGTCTGACCACAGAAATGAACATTTAAAAAGGTGACCTTTGCTGTGAGCAATACAGTCTGTGGCTGTGTCTCAGAGACACAGCCACAACAGGGAAGTTAGAGGAAATCTCCTAAAGTCAGGGGAATTCCCTCTTACACAATTGTGACAGGAACAGATGTCCCCATTGTAAGATTTCCCTTTACCTCCTGTCCTGGGGACAACATTTTGGACTTCCCTTCGCTTTCTTTCTTGGTGACAATGGTCACCAGTACTAATAGCAGAGGTAAATTTCCCCAGTGGGAACACCGACAGCAATGAAAACTTGGCATAGGGTCTAAAGCCTTCACTATTAAAAAATATAGTATTTCAAGAGATGCAGTTTAATTTGCTTCTCTATCAATTCTAAAAAATCCTTACATTTATTTTTATACACGACTAGTGAAAAAAGATGAATTCGTATTGATACAGGCCTCCTGTAAACCCCTGTATAGAAGATTTTGGACTGGAGGATAGGGGAGCATAACTGGGAGCCAAAGAGGTTGCAGGGAGAGAGAGACAACTTCATAAGGTCAGCTTCTGCCCCTTCAACACCAAATCACAGTCTGGCAACAAAAAGGTACCTAAGCTGCAAAGCAGAAGTGCAGAAAGCCTGGTCACCAACCTGCTGACTAGAAGAGCTGAGTAAATTTCAGGACTGGCTGGACAAGGTGCCAAATATTTGGGATGGTAAAAGTGCTGGTATGCATTTCAACTCTGTATTTAGCTGCCTGCCTGGATCTGGAACAAGTATGCATATGTAGAAAATCAGTTATTTGCATGTTTGTTCAAGGCAAGGGAGACAATGTATTGAAGCAAGAAGGCCAATATGACAGACAGGAAACTAGCATTTGCGGCATGGTTTTCTTTAAAATTGCCATGACAAGTCAATAAAGTTGTTGTTACCAATATTAAAAAAAGAAGGATTCTTTCAACTTGACATGCTACTGAATTAGAAGCGATTGTTGGAAAGGCAAATGATCATTTCTTTAAGGGGCACATTTTGTGTGGTCTAAATGAGCTGCACATCTATGACCAGCCTTGGAAACAGAACGCATTGAACATAAATTAATCTGTCAGAAGTGACTGAACCGAGATCATGGGATAAGACGTGCTTTTTCTCCGATATACCCATAGCTCCAGGAGGAGTGGCATTCGGAAGAAGGATGTGAATCCACACATTCAAGTTTTAAATTTCCTCCACCTAAATATAATCTACATAAAGGAAGCATGGCTGCTTCGACTCTACTACTGGTTCACTATAGACTCCTTTCAATTTCCAGGAAGGAAATCAGACTTCAGATGCATATCACACTGAACAGGAGCTAATGGCTTCATTAATCACATTCAAACAGATTCCACCCCCTACCAACAATTCACCCACTCCGGCCTGCTTCCCACTGGTATTTCTCCCCTCCCCCAGCACAAACAGCTTCCTCAATAAACGATAGTGACAGGTCCTCCAAGGCTTATCAGATTTCAAGATCTGTTAAACAGGGAGGAGCTGGAGCAGCAGTGTACAGCAAGCAAAACAGATTTAGTGTTCAATAAAAGAGCCAGACACCCACTTTGTGCCTTAACAAAGGCAGTGTCATGTAACAAGCAATAACGATCAGCGTTGCATCATAACTATTAGATTTGAGTTCATTGGAATGAAACCAGTGAAAAAGCACTGACTGGTTGTTACTGGTTACTAATCCCAATCATTTACTGAACCTCTCCACAGGCTATAGCAATGAGGTGCTCTTAAAGGAAGACGCACGGCTTGCTCTTCGTGAAAGAACAGCGCACAAGCAGTCACATGAAGAGTAAGAGCGTGCCGAGGCTCTGTTTATGTATGTGTCCATATATCAGAGATGTCAATGTCCCATGAGAGCATACAGTTAAAAGCATGCACACGGGTCAATGTCTATTAACCAGAAGGAAATGAATGTCCTACATGTAAATGAGTTACATTCAAACCATCTTTTCCAGCGCAGGGTTAGACCGACTTTAATGCTTATTTTAGTTTTGATAACTCATCCTCAATATGACATTCAGGACTTAGTGACACTCATTTGTTTCATCACTCGGCTCAGATGACTCGATCTACAGCTGAGTGATACACAAATGATACATTTTTGTTAATAGTGAAGGTAGTTGAATGTATTTTTAAGGTGCAACTCCTGAGTTTAGTAGTATGTAGTAGAAGAACAAAATCAAACACAAAGTGAGAAAAGTTGCTGAGCGTAGTAAATGATTTACCTCTATACTATATAACAAAATAACCACAAAATACATCTGTAAGATTGGTTTGAAAAATAGGAGAGCAGCTATATTTTCTTAGAGGTTCTGTAACCCTGTCACACTTGTATATGTCTAGCCAAAGAGATACCAATAAAGTGGAAAGTCTCAGATTCCCATTGTGTGACATGAAATATGATCAAATAAGGTGTAAAATGATCTCTTAGTAGATTGGCCTGTATCTTTGTACCATGATAACATACCTTGATGTTACTTTGACAAGGCCATTCCCACCATTCATTACTATGCATTTTGAAACCATTCCCGGCACAATTTAATAGAGCCTGTTCACACCAAAACACTGTAGTCGTGTGTTTCAGTATACGCCGGGGTACAATGGCCTGCATTTCGACACTCTTTCAAAAAGGCAACACTACAAAAGCTCACATCAACACAACTGGACCTGCACACATTATTCTAGTGGGAACATGTCCTAAATCTACAAAAACAACACAAGAAAAATGAGGTTGGAATACAGAAAAGTAGAGCGCAGACTATAGTATGTTTCTAGCCATCAAAGAGTAAAAAGAAAATATAACTAGGGAATACAACAATACAATGAGTGTCATTCTATAAACAACATTTCACTGGTCACGGTCATGCTGTTTGTACCTGAAAACATCTCTGAATGATCACTTACACAAACAAGAAGGTAACAGTGGTGTAAAAAACACACAAGCAGTTTTCAAGGAGGGGAAATACGCAGACTACATCTGCATGGCATATCCTGTCATAAAAACACACATGTCCATTATACATTCCATAGGCTGCTCTAAAAACTATACACATTCCATTGTGGAACACACAGAAAGCAAGGTCTGCACAAGACAAGAAGGCCAATTTACTAAAGAACATCGGGAATCTTCACACAATAGTGTTCATATCCACTTCAATGATCCAATCACATGAAAAGCAAATTCCTGTTTACTTTAAATACCCAATAATGTTCAGATGCTTTTCAGATGATGGAATAATCATTAGTAAATCAGCTGACGGGGGAAAAAGAATCTCCCGAAAAGTATAAAATGATACTTTGTACAATATATATTTATGTATTATATTGAGAAACATTAAAAACAAATCCTGGAACCAAACCCTGTAAGTTTAAACCAATCATAGGTGCCAAGATTTCCCAACAAAAATGTATAGGGACACTGACCATAGCTCTGGAACCCACTTCTATTCCTCCTTACAACTTGCCAAACAGAATGTAGTAGCACATGCATAGTTAATGTTTCTAAGGGTCACTCAAATGTTTGAGATATGCAAAACCTAGGTAGTGTACGCAATGTGCAACTTCTGGTTATTCTTTAACCTTAAAAAGGGTGAGAGTTTTTTTTACTCCATTTTGGAAAAATGAACGGTGTAACGCCTTCAAAGACAAATTTGTCTTTAAAATGCATCGATGCTGGAGGGGACTACTTTGAACACTTCTAAAGTTTGGAAAGTCTAGCCTACATAGGTTTCCCTGTATCTCAAAAACTTCATAGTGCTGAAGTGCAGGTATAAAGTGGCCCATTTAGACCTGTAACTGCGCGTGTCAGTGCAATGCGTTAATACATAGCTATGCCACTTATTTCAATGGCATCCAATGCAGAAGACAACACAACAAAGTACGGTTACGCATGTTGTGGGGCACTACTTTGGAAAAACTGCTACATGTCCAATTGGCAGCTCTGGTGCATCATTTGAACAGGCTGTCTTAATGCAGTGTGTAAGTAACAATGGGCCATTAGTCTTAAAACTGGCCAATCTTAGAAATATTTGGCAACAAAAACTATCAAATTGTCACAACTGACTGGATATACAGACATATTATTATTATTATTATACAGGATTTATATAGCGCCAACAGTTTGCCCAGCGCTATACAATATAAGCAAGCAGTTACGATTACAATACAATTGAAGACAAGATGGTAAGGTTCCATCAAACCAGAATTTGCTCCCCATTTATTAAAGGAGAACTATGGGGTTAAGGCTTTTCCTTAGGGTAACGGGAGGACACAAACTGGCGTCCTCCCGTCACCCTAGGCTCAGTATACCGCAAGCTGCAGCACACTGCCCGTTCAGCATTGCGGTCATCGGAAGCCCGCCCCTCAGGGGGGCGGGCTTGCGATGATCGAGAGTGCGATCTGCCTGTCCAAGATAGGCAGATCGTACGTTTTTTTAATCCCTTTACAACCATCGCAAGACTAAAGTCTTGCGATGGTTGTAGAGTGTATGGCCACCTTAAAACTAATTTACAGCAGACAGTTTTAACCTTTAAAATGGTGCTGACACTGTCCTTCCTTCTAAAGGGGGACTACCACCTCATGTTTAGTTTATTCATTTGTGTTGAGATTGTAATCCATCAAAGGAGTGAGCTTGGAGTGGTGGCTTCTTTACAACACACTCACAGGGACAATGGGGAACAAAAGTAGTCCCCCTCCAGAAGGGAAGGACAGTGTCGGCACCAATTCAGAGATGATTTGAGGATCTACAGCCGAGTGATACACAAATAAGATACATTTTTGTTAGTAGTTAGGCTGCTTGAATGCATTAAGGTTTAACGCGAGTTTAGTGTCACTTTAACATTCCATCCTTATTGAAACAAAACACTTTTCTTAAGAACAACAAAATGCAGTGACCTATTTGATCAGAGGCCATTTCATTTTTCAGCACCTGGTATACACATTCTAACAAACCACAGGGTACTTACACCAACACATTGACTATGCCTGTTAACACTTCATTAACAATAGGCTTTTATTTGAAATGCTTTAATTCTTAACTCGTTAGGGAAGCTAGACACAAAAGAGAGAATTTGGCACTCAACGGTGAAATGTATTCTGCACTCCACGCTTATACATGCATACGATGCATTCACAAAAACACAGGGATTTTTAGAATTCATGTTTGCTACCAATGCTAGAGAATGACCAGAGAGACCAGAGGGTATGGATGGAAGTGGAGACAAATGATCACACAGAGAAGGAGAATGAGTGTAGATAAACGTTGAAGATGAGGGGAGAGAAAACCATGGATGGAAATGGAGGTGAATGATCCAGAAAGGGTAGGAGCGTGGGCATGGATAGAAATACAGAAAAATAGTCCAGAGGGGGGGAAAGCAGGCATGATGGAAATAAAGAAAAATGATTCATATCAGATGCACATGTTTTAAGGACATGGTTGCTAGCCTGGATTGGTGGGTGGAGTCCAGCAAAATTTTACTCCCCCTCGCCTGCTATTCACCTGTCAGCCTGTCTTATTAATATCCCAGCCTCCCTTCCCCTCTTGTTCTCCTTTCTTTCCAATTGAACATGCCCAATTTAAGGCATACTGACCCTTCTGACCACGGCACACCTCAGGTCGGCTTTTGCCTCCCGGGCCTCTAGGCTCTCTTTGCTTTCGGGTCATATCAGCTGGAATCAGACTACAAATCACATGCATATATCAAGTGCATACGTGGATATAATGCCTCCTCTTAAAACCCCGAGGACATTCAGCCATCTAGTATGAGGAAATTGCGCTACATGTTAGAGAAGCATTTAGTATAAATGAAAGATAAGCTGAGCCAGTCAATAGGCGGATAACAAATGACAGAAGGTGAAGGGTCACAAACATCTTGCAAATGCTATTAAAATGTTAACATCTGGTCTCCCATCACCTTACCTTTCTTTTGCATAAATACAAACAGATCATCGAGGAATTCCTTCCTCTTTGGATCACTGTCGAGTTCATAAAGCTGCAATATAACAAAACGTATTAGCTTAAATGTAATAGACAACCCGAACTCACACACAGTAGCAAACTGGTTATAGAAACAATGTATGTAAATGTACATCTTAAAAGGGTAATTCCCTTCCCCAAATCAAATTACCCCCACTTAGCTAGAAGTGCTTCTCACTGGTCAGCGTGGTCAGAAACGCTTCTCACTGGTCAGCACGGTCAGGTGAGTGCTCGCCGGTACATATATGACACCAGTAGCCATGGAGGGGAAGAAGCGATTGTTGACAGGTAAGAGCAGCAGGATGGTGGTGGTAGGTCAGGGCCCAAAGAGAGGGCAGATTGGTGGGGATAATTTCATTTTCCCAAATCACCGGGTAGAGTGGAATTACCCTTTAGCTGATTTAAACTGAAAGTTCAACTAAACATTAAACATATTCCCAGGGCATCAAAGTAAAAAGGTGAGCAAAATCTTACCGTTCATTTTCTTAATAAAGCAGCCACAGCCAGCGTAGAAAAGTCTTTTCCCTGCCAGCACACCGTGGAGAACCCTTGGGGCCCGATCACACCAAATGCAATGCGTTCCGGCCCGATTCTGGAAAGAAACGCACTGCCTCGCATTGCAACTGGCTCACTTTTTGGGGGGGCAGGAGGGGGCGTGGCGGGCCATTGAAGTAGCCAAGCCCTCCAGCCGCAATGCGATCTGCCACACAGGATCACAAGGCACATTATGCCCTCAGTCCGGTGCAATCAAAATGGTGCTTGCAGCATTTGGATTGCACCGGACCGCAGGCATAACGTGCCTTGCGATCCCATGGGGCCGGAGGGGGTAGCTACAGTGCCATTCACTTCAATGGCCCACCACACCCCCTACTGCCCCACAAAGAAGTGAGCCAGCTGCAATGCGAGGCACTGCGTTCTGGCCAGAATCGTGCCGGCACGCACTGCATCTGGTGTGAACGGGTCCTTGCTCTCAGAGGAAGCTGGTCTCTCTGCTGAGGTGTGACACGCTGCCTAATAAGTCAGACCTATAAGCTCTGCAATCAGAAAGCTCATGCTCCCTCTTGATTAAGGAGTTCTGGCTCTGACTCGGTTAGTTTTGCAAGCTGAAATAAGTTCAATTGGGTCTTATCTGGTCTGTAAGTTCCTTTCAAAGCCCCCACAGGCCCCATTTAAATGGTATTTATGGGGCAAAACCTAAAATATATATTCCTATATTGAATTTCCATAAGTTCTATCCCACTCCTAATAACCATATCTAGAAGTATGTAAACTTACTTACTAAAGATGCCCATAGGATGTACTTCCTCAATGCAGGGACACAATTTCACTCAGCCCTGTGAATATGCACTGCCTTGTGTCACCGGCCTGCCGTCTAAACCCCAACTCAGCATCTAAACTTCCCACAACATTTCATTGCTTGCTGGTTTAGTCCTGCTTTAAAAGCTAGTGTACATGTGCTTTTGTAATGAATTATTCCTCCATACAAGTAAATGTATTTTAACGCATACTGTTGACAGGGCTACTTGTTTGGTTGCAGGCTGGCTGGCTGGTTGAGGCTGGGGAATTTTTGTGTTTTGTATTGTAAGCCTTCCCAATGTGCTCCCTGCTATAAAGGCTGGTTATAGATTCATGCATGTACCACTTTTTTCTAGTATGAGCATTTCCCCCACCACTGATCTCTCCTCCTCTCTCTAAAGGCGGAAGCGATGTCTATTACATCACTTCTGCCTTTAGCTGTCATTTATCTGGCAGTTATAAATGTAAATACGCGTTGGGTGCGCCTACATGCAAAAAGAATGATAACGCCACATGTTACATATCACAGCTAACGTTGTAGTGTGAGCAATAATTCTAGGGCAATCAATCACTGACAACACTAAACTGAAGCGGTAAAAGCTTTTAAATCGTCGCCTATGGCCAATTTTAGGCATGGTCGTTTTTTGTGATTTCGTGTCCGCACGCAACTTTAAACCTTGACATGTTTGGTGTCTATTTACCCGATGTGACCCCGTATTTTACCAAAAAATGGGTAATAATAAAGGTTTAATAACAAAATAGGAAAAAAAGTTTTTTTTTCAAAATTTTCTTTTCTCATTATATAGTAAAAAATAAAAACCCCAGTGTGATCAAATACCACCAAAAGAAAGTTCTGTGTGTCCCCACAAAATGGTATAAAATTCATTTCAGTACAGCGTTGTATGACTGAATAGATGTCAAAGTCCCGCAGAGCTGAATACTGAAAAATGGCCCGGTCAGGAAAGAGGTTTAACACCCCGGTCAGCAAGTGGTTAAATACATTCTGGCCTAAATATGCTTTATGACAAAGCCTTTTAGAAATTTGCATGCAGGGTATAAACAAAACGAGTTTGCCTAAGGCCTTGTTCACATCAAGCGTGTTCAAGGAGCAGAGCAGTTACAGACCGGATCAAAACTGCGTCCAATGTACTGCAATGGTATTTTGGGCTCTAGTTCACACCACAGCGTTCAGTTCCAGAGCATATTAAAAAAAAACTGCAGCAAGCCCTATTTTACCTATGGACCGCATGCAAACGCCCTGGAACACACTGAAAGCCCATTTTAAACTTTAAAAAAAACATTTTTTTTTTTTAAACCAAAAACAGCCTGGAACGCATTAAAAATGCAGCAAACCCCACTGCACTGCATGTGCAGAAACTCATGCAGATCTGGCCTGCATTTGGTGTGAACAAGCCCTCAGTTTCATCAACATTTACCACATTTCTGCAATACATGCACATTTTCCCGTGGTGTGTGTTTGAACCCAGTCAGTATTTAAGAAAATCTAACTGTATCTTCCACCTCTCTGAGCACTACACTGGCATACATTTAAAGTACAACCTTTACTTATACATGAAATCAACAGGAGCGTCAGGATGTGAGAAGGCAGAATGGTTTCAGTAGAAGCCCAATGGAAATGAATGCAGTAGATGAATGATTTTGCTTATCATTTAACAGTGAACAAATGAACAATACCTTTGCAAAATCCCTTGAGGTTTCCCTGGAACGGCCATCTACATCTTCACCCCAGGAAGTGTTTTCCTATAAAAACAAAAAGGGAAAAAAAACCTCAGAGCTCAGCACAAGGGTAAGTGGTAAGAATAAAAGTATAACAAGAATCTACGGATATTAAAATTAAACAAAAATTGCAGTACAAAACGTGGGCTAAACAAAACTGGAGGAAAGCATTACTTTGACTGGTCAGCTTTATTTTTTGGCATATATGTGAGCATGTCACCTAAACGTGGAAGTGTCTTTCAAAAGGACTTTCAAACAGCCAAAGCAAAAATGACATTCTTCACAACTGGCGTAACTTCCTTTGTTAGTTTAACATCAGAAACTCAAAGACAAAAAAGAATGTGCCAGACACCTATACTATATACACTGAGATTCAGGGGTGATTTCTTATTACAAAACTGCAAAAATGAAGAGTCTGCAGGCAATAAATGAGCTCTGCTAACAGAAACTACAGTAAACATTGTTAAATCATAGCAGCAATAAATTACAAATCCAAAAACAACTGAAAACATTTGATGAGAAATAAACAAATAGCCATGGGATGAAATTTGGAGCCAACAACCATAGGAAGCAATGTGATTTCTTTACTGCTCTCATGTACTACATTCTATTCTGCTAATGTATATTTACACACACACATCACATGGAAGAAGAGTTAACACAGCTGCACAGAGGACAGTCTTACTGGATTGCCCATTAGCATGTGTCAGCTATAAAAAGGGTGTCATTTAGCACTTTAAGTTTCACTTTGAGTTTTCAAAGCAACACAAGGACATTAAGAGTGCCAAAGCAAGCTTGTATTTGTATTCTTTTATCCCAAAAGTCTTATCTGGACAGGTTCACATTTGGAGGAAAGAAAGCCTTCAATGCAGAGCGTTTGTAGACAACGTCTATAGCAGTAATCCGTACTGCAGCCTTCTCATGACTGCTCTGAATGATCATATAATGGTAGACCATTTTAGGGGAACAGGTTCACACATCATTGCCGTATTCCACGATGATAATGACCCCCACAGATCTGGTTAAACACCTTCAACAGAAGCTTCACAGATGGAAGGGTAAAGAAAAGATCTTTACTGCCTTCGCATTCACCAGATCCAAAATATATTTAAAGCTTTAAGGGGTCTTGAGTAAAGTGTTAGCGCAAAATAGATTTTCACTTCATCCCACAAATGGTCTGTTAAGGGCCTACTGCACAAACTAGGGTGTCTCTGCTTCTTATTAGGCCTTTAAAGAGAACTAAATGGTGGAAGCTGTGCCAAACAGAGTGAAGAGGGCATAGGACTAGGCACCAGTATTGCATAGTGTCTATATTTTCCTATTACTGACTTACCATGGCTTGTTCTGTGGAAGAGGCCATTGCGGAAAAAGCAGGGCTTTGCTCGCATGCATTAGAGCCTCCAGCAAGGGGAAAAGAGAGAACAGTATTGACATCTCTAAACCTGATCAGACTAGCAGTCAATGGCAGCTGTGCCTTTAATCTCACACAGCATTAATACAGCTATGTGGTGCCATGTACAGGAGTGCCAGGCACAGTCATACACCAGGATATGCAACGATACACAATCTCCAAGCAGATAGTGTCCTGTATGGCTGCAGCTAACGATTATTTTTCCAACTAATCGATTGGTTGTATTAAAAAAAAAAAAAAACAAAGTCCCCCTTCCTCCCTCTCCCCACCACAGTGCTAAAAGCAGTAACTACTAAGTCAAAGTGGTGTAGGGCTGCAGCTAACGATTATTTTCATAATCGATTCGTTGGCCGATTATTAAGTTCGATTAATCGGTTAATTAAAAAAAAAGTTCCAGTGATGGACTATTAGTTTGAGTTGAGATTGTAGTCCATCACGGGAGCAAGTTTGGCGCGGTATAAGTTTCACACAGCACCCTTGTACACCTGTTCCACCACAGCACCCCCAAACACCTATTTCACCACATCACACATACACCTGTTCCACACTGCACCTCCATACCTTTTTTCCACCACTGCACCCCCGCACACCTATTCAACTCCTCAATTGTCGGCGGGCCAGCAACGAGTGAGGGAGATCGCGTCAAGGAGGAGAGCAGCGGCGTGCGCGGCTTCAGCGGTGGGCATGGCTTATGCGTCCTGTGGGCACGGCGGGAGCAGCGTGCGGTGGGCGTGGCTTATGCGTCCTGTGGGCACGGCAAGCGCAGCAGGACGTGAGCAGCGTGTGCTTCAGGCCGCGTGTTGAGCCCCGAACAGGGAAATCAATCGATAGCTGACGAATCGACGATCGAAAACGTTGCCAATGTTTTCAATCGTCGATTTTAATCGACTAAATCGATTAACTTTTGCAGCTCTAAAGTGGTGCCTTACATTTTAAAAGAAAAAAAAGTCCACTTTGATGGCAAATTGCACATTAAAAAAAAGACCCCCCAATGGTTTAAAAGCTTTACCCAAAATGTTTTTCTGGTGAAGAAGTCTCCAATTACTGTGTGTTACTTTCTGCCTATTTGCATGGATATGTGAAAGTGTACACTATGAAGTGCATGTGTATACTCTTCCCTTGTAAAGCCTCAATACATCACACTGTAGTGGTACCTGCTGGCCACAAACGCTTTACAAGTAAATCCTCATGATACAAAAGCACACACACTTGTAGTACTTGTAGTTTCCTCCTGAAGGATACATTCTACTATATGGCCTGCAGAGAATTCTGAAATATATCAACCATAGCTGAACCAAAAGCTGAGAAGTACAAACCAAAAATGCAGCATAAGTACACAAGATTATCTAAACCCAAGAACGACAATGTCATATATTGCAGCTTACCAGCCCTTCCATATGGTGGCTGAATTTCATTTCTATTTATTTTGCAGGCTACGCACATATTCTGCAAGAAAAATACCGGTTGATCCTGTCAGAAGTCCAGCTTCTCTGTAACTTCTTCAAACATATCAGCCTTCCCAGACGTCTTCTGTGAACTGCAAAACACCTCTTCTCTGTATAATGGAGAGGGGAAGGTGCATGTAGTCCAAAACAGGACAACAGCCTAGGGTATTACTGGCAGGATCACCAGGTTAAAAAAAAGAAAAGCGACAACATATACAAGGACTGATTAGCTTCAATGGGTAACATTTTTGTTATTGGGTTTAGAGACGCTTTAAAGAGAACCATGGGGTAAGTGTTTTTCCCCATAGTGTTTTTCCCCATAGTTCTCTTAAGGGTCACGGGAGGACATATACTGAACTCCTCCTCCCGTGACCCAAAACTCAGTATATCGCGAGCAACAGCTCATGGTATCCTAAGACCGGCGCAGCCAGGACGAATCCCAACAATGCTGTTGAGAACCACCCAGCTGTGTGAGTGACAGCCGGCTCTGCCTATGTAGACTCCCCCTCCCCATCCGTTCCTTCAGTCAGCGCCGTAGGATTGGAGCGGGGAATCACTACGGGGAACCATGACTGACAGTCACGCTCTCTGCAAGGAGATGATCAAGCATCGAGCAAACTTCCCGGCCAATCAGGAAGCTGGGACATTACTCGCCACCCAGCTTCCTGATTGGCCGGGAAGCCGCCTCCATGCTGACTCGCTGGAAAGCCGGTTTCCCGGCCAAACATGGAGCTGGCTTCCCAGGAAATCAGGAGGCCTGTCATTACCTGCTGCCCGGCTTCCCGATTGCCCAGGAAGCTGGCTTCATGCCAGCGGAAGCACCGGTACTCTGTATCGGCAAATACCCTCAGCAAAATATCGGTAATCGATGGCGAAAAAACGGTAAATCGGTGCATCCCTACAAATTTGTTTATACGGTAACTAAATTACTTTTGCTTAACATATAATTGCAACTTAGGCTGACAGAAAAAAAACAAACAAAAAAACACTTATATTATACAAAAATCTAAATAAGACAGTCAAAAGCTGTTAAATTAGCATTCCCATTATATCATTGAGTTGCTGCCAGACTTGAGAAGGGATCAGCTTTAAATTACTGCTTCTAATCCCCTTTTAGCTCTAGTGGCAGTCAATGGACTGAAGTCTTTACTAAACATTTTGTTCAGCATTCACAAGAGAGGCACTTCCCTCCAGCCATTAACAAATAATTTTATTAGCCTGCTGAAAGAGATGGGGGATGGGGCAGCTGTACCAGCTTTTGGTGCTCGGTTATTGCCTAGGGGAGATGGAAAATACATCCCCTTTATAACTAAATTCCAGTGTGGAACAAAGACTGAACACTGCCTGGCTGTATACCTTATATTACACGTCATGTTTAGTATGTGTATGTGGTGGCCTGTAAACTCTGTATTAACACTTGTATGTATGTCAAAATCTTGACCTCTACATCACAATAATTGCCTCACTAAAGAAAGTGTTATTCTATTATACTGCACACTACAGGGAATGAACTGCATGGGTTCTAGTTTTGGTCAATCCAATAAGCAGTCAATAGCCGAGATAAAACATGTGCAAGAAATGGACAGAAGGCATATGAAGTATTTATGTTACGGCATCCTATTCCCAATCATTTGTTTTACTCATCAGGGATCCTTCACACTAGAACACATGCATTAACACATGTTGCACTGACCCACAATGACATGCCATTTAGACGGACTGAAGTTTATTTTTTAAAGACTCCATTTGCATTTACTCAAATTGCATACTGCAGACAAACTGCAGCCTTCCGACCTCTCTCTTCTCCATTATGTGTTGGCATGAACAGACCATTACAAGCAATGGATTCTCCCAAATGCATACCTTTTACCTACAATGGAATAAACGCCAAACAACGCATGCTAACATAAGTGGTATGAACAATCACCTAATCTACAAATTTGATTTGAGTTACTCCATCAAATGACAAATGCCCTTCGTTTTCAGCTTAAATGTATACAAACCGATGACAGTGGCCCAATTCAGTATTATTCTCTGCTCTGTGGGCATCTATGGATGGACCTGTTCGGCAGTTCCCAATCCCCCAACCCTCACCCACATCTCCAGTGATATACAGTTGTAATCAAAATGATTCAACCCCCATTACAAATCATGTTTATTGGCAACAT